ACCATACGCGTGCTGCAAACTCATGAGTGGCAGATGTTGGTGTTTTGTTTGGGGAGGGTGGGAAAAATAAATCCTCTTTAAAAAAAAGAAAGAAAGAAAAGGAAAGAGAACAGTAAGCTATTGTGCTGGATATGGAAACTTTGGAGACACATTGTGTAAAACAATTTGGTATTGATGACAAGGCATTTTGTTCTATATATGATAAAATATAGAGACACCAGTCTTTCATGAATTATAGCATAACCCAACTCTGGCTTGCAGCCAGAGAAAATTGGAATCAGACTCTACTACTCAAACATTTCCTCTTGAGCTCTTGTTTATGATGTTTGGTGCCAGCAGCCATACATTTTTGTGCTGCTCTGTCTAGGCTTGTAATGAATAGGAAATATGAAATAACTAAACTGAAAGGATGTGGAGAGGGGGGAAAGAAGGAGGGGAACCCCCTTTGGAATAGTTCCTTCAGAAGAAAATAAGATAATGCCAGGAAGTTGGCATCTCAGTAGCACCACCAAGGGGTTGCTAGGCAATCACTGAAGATGAAGTGAATGGCTTATTAAGAAGAAACTGTTCTCTAGCTTTCTACTTGCTGATAGATCTTCACACTAGAAATACAAAGAGCAAATATTTTCCCATTTTACTGACTGGTAACTCTTGTAGATTCTCAGGATATCAGTATTTTTCTAACTACTTTGAGCCTGATCAAAATCCTATTGAACTCAATAAAAAAGTCTCCCATTGTGTTCAACTGGCTTTGGATCAGACCCCATCAGAGTTGGGATGGAGCATCTCTGAACCTGAGATTGAATGTTTAGAAGCAGATGGATACATCGATAACCAGACCTGCTGTGGCATATTGAATCATGTGGACTAATTTTTCCAAAATAATAGCCACAAAATTTCTATAGAAATGAACTGAGAATGTAACTTTGACAGGAGTTTGTGTGAGTTCAAGGGCGTGAACAAAATCATAACTCTAGCTTTCTAACCAGAAAATTACAAGTACTTTTGTACTGTAAAAAAAGGAGGAGGGGAAAACCCCTCTCCACTCCCAACTCCATATGAGTTTTTTATATTTCTTCCAAAATTTGTATGTCACTTTTCTACTCACCTGCAAAATTATATATGCAACTTTAAAGCCAGTTTTGACCCCTTTGTAAAAGGTCCTTTGTGTCAGTGCAGAAACAAAGATGGGAGGAAATGCAGGGGTATCTTGGAGGTAAACTTCTAATACATAAAAGTCCTTGGAAAGAATGCAGCATCAGTAGAACACCAAATATAGATAAGAAATAAAAATCTTTTTAGAGGACTATTAAATATTGTGAATTTTCACAGTTAATTAACACTAAGTTATTTAGCATAGGTGTTTCTGTTATTCTGTGGAAAATTTCCCAATGTTCACTAGCCTTCAGGCCAACACTGTCACCTGTGTGGTGTGGTGGCAGAGTGTTAATATTCTGAGCTATAATATAAAACATATGGGAAATGGTGGCTTGCTCAAAACCTGCAGAAGGGTTTCTCTTTACATGATGTTCATATGGGTGAGTTTCTTTGTTTCAACATCCATAGAACACAACCACTGCCAAAGTTGAAACAGTTAATCTCTTATAGGCTGGTTAGAAACTTGTCTACTGAGCAAATGTATATGCTTTTTTCACTAGAGCACAGTATCACCTAGAGCTGATGAAAAGGTGGCAAGAAGATTTGGTTTTGCCATTTTTTCCCCATCAAATGCAACATTTTATTGAAAATGTTTATTGAAATTTCACAGTGCAGAAAATTTAAACATGTCATATCATTAAACCCCAGTTTATGAAATCGGAGAAAAAAGGTGATCATGAGTCAAATTTTGCTCTTTACTTGCAGTCTGGAAGACAACAGTTATTGGGGTTATTGTGGATGAAAACAGGTGTAAATAAGAGTAAAAAATTTGTCTCTTTCTTTAAAGCTAGTTTTTTTTACCAATATTTAATGGGAAGGAGAAATCAAAAAAGCAGCAATGCTGAAAGAGACTTAGGACTGATGGCGCAATGTGTTAGGGTAGCAACAAAGGCCTGGTCTACACTACGGGGTTAGGTCTAATTTACAGGGTTAGGTCGATTTAAAAAAGATCACTGCAATTTTGGGCTGCATCTATTGGTGCATTACTTCTCAGGACAGGGAGACCCCTCTCTATATGGCTCTGGAACATTGCATTCAGTTCTGAGCATCTCATTACCAGAAGGATATTGACAAATGGTTGCAGGTTAGGTAAGAGTGACCAAAATACCGGAGGTTGGCGATGTGTTGATTGTAAGGATTGGTTTATGAGAACGGAATGAAGGAATTAAGTGTGCATTGAATGGCTAAGCAAGACTCAGGTTGCAGGGTGAAACAGCCTACAAATACTGAAGGATGTAAACACCCAGGATGGAAATTCATTATATATCGTAATAAAGTGAGGCATAGCTAGGAGTAATAGGATTAAATTAAGAAAGAGCTTTGAGAGCTGCTGATGAAAAGTGCTATATAAGAGCTAGGTATTATTATTATTCTATTAATAGAGTGCATTGATGGGAAAACCTTTCTAATTTTTGGTGATAGAATTACAATAATAATCCATATAATAGTGCTATGAAGGAAAATAGTGTCCCTGCCCCCAGGAGCTTAAAATTTATATAAGTTCATCATATAGGCTTATTAGTGTGTTTGTGCGGCTAAACTTTTAAACATACATACTAAGCTGATTTTATTACAGTACTCAGTAAATGACTGTTTTGATGTATTTCTCATGACATTTCCCTGGGTAAATATTATGAGAGATTTAAATGTTTAGTACGTGTGGCTTAGTGTATAGGTTAGACTTTAGAATTACTATCAGTGTAGCTGACCCCTCTTTTTATCATTTCCCTGCTCCCGCAAAAGAACATCCGTTTTATAGAAGAACCTCATGACTGACATGCTTTGACTGAGACGTCCACCACAGCCGTCCTGGCTGGATGGGTGATGACATATAATGAACCATTGGTCTTTTGTGTGTAGAAGGAAAAAGCTCCAAAGTTAAAATTGTGAACCTCTGCACAGACATTTCAGCTGTGATGAATGGCTCTGCAAATTTGGCCATTTTGCAGATGGTGCAAACACCTCTGCTGGAATTTTGTAACTAACAGGGGCTTCTGCAGATGTGTAACTGTCAAGAGAATTTAGTTTATGTTTCTAGCAGAGATGAATGGAAGAACACTAGGGGCCTTAAACATAACTGTTCTTTACTGGAATCTCCATGATGCTCTTTGTTTCAGCATTCTTTTTAGTGATGCCTGGTGTATTATTCTTTCCATGAAATAGGGATCCCTAAGCTCTCTGTTTCCATTCACTTGCCTGCTTTTAAATCATTGCATCTTTTAAATCAATGCAGAGGAGGTACTGTTAACCATAACATATGATTGCAATCTCTCAATAATATCTGCTGTGTAAAGAGGAGATCTTAATCCAAGTTTCAGGGTCATGCCTGGGCTCACTTCAGGTTTCAGTCAGGGTGACAAGCTGCTGTCATGAGGGGTTAATATACCTTGGAACCTTTCTTCAAAACCTATGATAACCTGAAAGCAAGTAAAAGCTCCTGAATCACTTTTCAGTGCATTATCAACACTAAAGGTACATTAATTCTTAAATGACTAAAATAGGTTTCAGTGGAAAGCTTTTAAAAATCCATTTGTGAGTGGTTATGAGAGAGAGCTCAGACAATTAAAAATGGAGAGCATTTTAAACACTACAGGCAGAAAACAAAGTAAGTTTAAAATACTTAGCACTTTATATGTATAAAACCCTCTGTGCATGCTAACTATTCCTCACCATCCCCATTTAACATATGTGGAAACTGAGGCAGGGAAAGGAAATGATTTACCCACATCACAAAATAAGGCTTAGATCTTGCAAGTTGATCGATGTGGACAGACCCCTTGCTGCCTCCAAAGTCCCTCTGACTTCACATTAGTAGTGTAGCTAAACTGGGAGTGGAACCCCAACCCTGGGTTAATTCCTCTAGCCAATATGCATCGCTGAACAGGGATTAGAACCTGGGGATTTCAGACTCCCAGTCATGTGATTCTTCCTCTACACCCCACACTGACTTTATGAAAAGTGAAAGCCCTCAGGAAAAGATTTGTGATAGTAGGGTTACCATACGTCTGGATTTTCCTGGACATGTCCGGCTTTTGGGGACTCAAATCCCCGTCCGGGAGGAAATCCCAAAAAGCCGGACATGTCCGGGAAAATAGGGAGGGAGGGACCGGCGGTGCTCGGCCGGGGGCCAGAGCCGCTGGAGCCGGCAGTGCAGGGCCGGAGCCGGCAGTGCGGGGCCGGGCCGGACCCGGCGGTGCTCGGCCGGGGGCGGCGGTGCGCTCAGCCGGAGGCTGGGGCCGGAGCTGCCGGGCCCGGAGCCGGCGGTGCGGGGCCCGGGGCCAGTGGTGTTCGGCCTGGGGCCGGCTGTGTTCGGCCGGGGCCGGGCTGGAGCCGGCCAGGGGTGCTCGGCGAGGGGTGCTGGGCCGGGGCCAGGCCGGGGGTGCTCGGCTGGGGGCGGCGGTGCGCTCGGCCAGGGGCCGGGGCCGGAGCCGG